TCTCATAGCCACGGAGTTCACTTAGGAGAACGTGATTCTACAAAACTTGTTTTGTTTTGTTTTGTTTTGTTTTTTTTAGTGGTGAAAGTTGAAACCAAAAGTGAATTGTGCACTAAGCAAAAATGAGAGACCTGTCAGCCTCTGAGCAAACAGGCTTAAAGCATAAAGCACAAAAGAAACCAGGAGGCATTTGACGAAACTGCAGCTGAGATTTCCCTTTGTGTTTAGCACTGTCTGGGCTGACTGGAAACACATAGTTTTGGGACAGCCAGGAAGGGCAGCTGGCAGAGTTCCAGCGCTGGGACACTTCTTACAGCACAGCAGCAGGAGCTCATGTTAGGGCTGGAGTCTTTCTCTAGTGTAGTTGTCTCTCACGTTTCTTTCTGAAGCGAAAGGTGCCTTTCAGGGATGCACACAGCAGAGTGCATCTGCGGGCGCCTGTGATTCTTGCTCCTCACTTTGTACCTACACTTAACTAAGCTCTTCCAGATGTGAGGTGGAACTCTGTCGCTCAGGGATTGTTACAGATCTTGGCTTACAGGGAAAAAGGTTTTAACACTTCACAAATACTTAAAACTTTTACTTTTCCTCTTTCTCTTCCTAAATATATGTATATACACTATAAAGTTTCTAAAAATATGTAAATATATAAAATAAAAAATGTAGATGCATTCATACAGAACTACATACGTGTTTGGCACATGCAGTTGTAAATGAGGAACACACAAAGCTTCACTAACAGAGTTTAAAGTTAGTTTAAAAATGGGTACAGGAAATGGCATAGTACATTAGGACACAGTTATTGAGCAAGTCCCTGCTGTTTGCTCTAGCTTTGTCATGCCATCAGGAAGATACATTATTGTAATACTCCATGCTGCCAGGCAAATAAGCAACGTAAACCCCATGTACACATGGTGAGTGATGACTCCTGCCTGGTATTCATAGGTTAACATCAGTAATTGCCATGAGATTAATCCCACTTAGTAGCAACAGTATATTCTTGTGCCTTGTCAGCTTTATGAACAGGGGAGGGGGAAGGGAAGAAAGTCTGTGCTTTTTGCAACAATAGTAGAATTTTATAATAACATTTAAAAAAGAATGAAATGTTCATAGTGATGTAGCTAGTAGTAAAACTGAGAAAAATTATATCAATGTTACTGTACTGTAGTGTCTGCAGGGACTGTGGTTTCAGTAGAAGTAAGTTTCAGAGTACAGAGGCTTCAGAAAAGTTCATTGACAAAAACTGAGAAACTTTGAAATGTTTTTTCCAATTACCCTTTTTTCCCCCCTTCTTTTTCCCATTCCATTCCTGTTTAGGCTAATAACCTTCCAAAAGCTATTGCAGCAGCTCACACGTTTCTTCTGAAGCATCCAGACGATGAAATGATGCAAAGAAATATGGCCTACTATAAGAGCATACCTGATGCTGAGGAGCATATTAAAGACTTGGAGACAAAGCCTTATGAGGTAGGCTTTTTATTCAGAGTCTGGTCTTTTTGGAACTGTTCTGTTACTTCTGCTATGGTGTGAGATTCAAGGATCACATTTGCTTACGTGTTCTCAGTTCTTACTCTTCTTTCCCTCTTACTGTCTTCCTCAGTCATCTCCATTCTGCCTTCTTGGTGCACTCAGTAATTCTCACCTATTGTGCTTTTCACTGTTCTGTAAGTCGCAGTAAATCATAGACAGTGGCACAGCTGAAAGCTACTACATGCAGATCACTACTGGAGCTAAGCAGGTGTATAGAGTTATTAAAATGCACGAGTGCTCTAGTGGCACAGGTTAAAATTACTAGGACATTTGAGGTTAAGATTCTATTGAAAATCTCAGTCAAAACCCGTGCTTTAGAGTTACACAGTTCTTTCTGCCCAGCAGGTTTTTCTGTTGATCTGAAATGGAATGACTTACTCTACTCTCTAGGCAATATCTGGTAAAATTGATTAGTCATCTGTCTCTGTTGTCCTGGTGTTAATTGGATAACGGCTTCTATACTAATCCAGAAATGTAGAGACATCATTTACTGTATTTGAATTTACACACAGCTTTCTGTAGATCAGCTACTGCTGGTCTTCATTCCTGCCAATTTTTCAGAACCTCTTTGTCAGGGCTGTGAGAGCATACAACGGTGACAACTGGAGAACGTCCATCTCGGACATGGAACTGGCTCTTCCTGATTTCTTCAAAAACTACGATGACTGTACAGCAGCCTGTGAAGGCTCCCGAGAGATCAGAGATTTTAAAGACTTTTATCTCTCCATTGCAGGTGAGTGCTTAGGAAACAGTAAGGAGAGATGTCCCAAAAGTGCGTTTCAGTTTACTCGTAGGGCTGGCTGCCAAATCCTGTTCCTCAGTTTGCAGTGTGAAATGCACATGGTGCCCCCTGCTCAGTTTGGGCCAATATGAGTTTATTGGATTCACTGAAAACTGCTTGAATTCTGGTTTGCTTTACTGCAGAAAGTAGATGTAGCAAAAATACGTTAACCAGAAGTATTTGGTGATTTCACAAGGTACGTATTTATCCCTGAGCAATGAGTTCTGTTTGGAAGCCAGCTGTCCTCATTGTGTGGGATGGCTTCAGTGAGGAACTTGTGTCTCTGACTTTGAGTGCTGACTGGAATTGAACATTCCTCTGTCTGGAGACTCCACTGCTCCTGTAAAAGATGGGTCTGGTAATTTCATTTGGCCAATCATTTTTAGTTAGCTTCAGCATTCTTCATGTTAGGAGTTTTCAGAGATAAAAACACAAGGAAGAGGCCTTTGCTGTTCTTTTGCTTTGGTCAGAAACTTGTTGCACGAGCTTAGGTAACTTGCTTTTGCCTGCCAGGTGTGTCTAGGAGGGAAGCTAAGGCTTTAAAATATTTCTCTTCGGTGGTGTTGACTAATGTGATATATCCTGAAAATGCTTGAAATTATTTGATGGAAGGTTTTCTGTGAATGTATTTCCTTGAAGATAAGATCGCCTCTAGTCCTAGCCCATTGTCACAAGCTTTTGTGACAGATAAGCTTGTGAACTTAAAAATTTCTGGATTAAAGTTGTTCTGTATTGAGCAGTGTATTGGTGTCTTTCTTCTCTTTCAGAATATCCAAACTGCAGGCACAAAATACAGCCAACTCTAGAGGTTTATTTGCAATCATTTTTGCAAATTTTTTTTGCAAATATTTTGCAATTATTTTGCTGTATTTCTCTGTAACACAGTTGTACTCAGCAGCATGCGGACCTTATTGATGGAATAATTTAGTGAAATTGCAAAGGCTGACAAAAAAAAACCAAAAACAAACCAGCAGTGTTAATTTCACAGTTAGGAAATAATGTGATACTCTATGACACTCCATATAAAACCTACCACTGAAGACTGCCTGTAGGTGTCAGTGAAACCTAACTGCTTAGTTCTCTGGAATTACAGCTTTGATAGATTTCAAGTCCAGACCTCAGTGATTTTTACTGAGTACCAGTACTTGATATGTACTTCAGATGGAGTTGTACATGCTCAGTACTTCCAAGCAGCAAGATCCAGCTGCACAGGACCCAGGAGAGCATTATAAGACCAAATTTTAATGTGCAGTTAATGGGAGGGGTTATAACAATTCACTGTGCACTATCCATATCCTGTGTTGTTTTTTTCTTCCTTCTAGATCATTACATTGAAGTCCTTGCATGCAAAGTGCAATGTGAGAGTGATCTAACACCCATTATAGGAGGTTTTGTTGTTGAGAAGTTTGTGGCCACCATGTACCATTACTTGCAGTTTGCTTATTATAAATGTAAGTAGTGATTTAATGTGCTTAAATAACATTGGGATGATGTGGGAGAGTCTCCATTCATAATCTTTTCCCTCTAGTTATAGCACTTTAGAATGTAAATAGTGACCTCCAGAATCTGCATTTTAACCTGTTCAGGGACAGAAAGTCTGAGCTGCCAGGTGTCTTTTTCTTACTGTGTAACTGTACTTAACAGACATGGGAGATAAGCATTAGATATAGAGCCCCTGCTCATAACGTTGTCCATGAGAAAATGAATTGCTGAATATAAGTCACCTAAGGGCTGGATTTTGTCCAGGGCAGGCCCCTCTGTTTTGAGTTGTGCATGGTTGTGACTGATCTCCACTTGGGTGTTGGAAAAAGGAGGCAGTTGTTGCAGAGTAAGTGTGATCTGATCCATCACTGCCCTTCATTCTTTGTATGATACCTCCTGCCAGCATAAGTTGCTTACACTTTTCAAAGGTTCATATAAATGATAAATGTTCATTGTATATACTTTAGATCTTTCAATGATACACCAATTCTTCTGCCTTTTTGAAGGAACTCATAACATGTTAGAGTGAACAGTGTCAGGCACTTCCTACACATCGGAACAAGTGCAATGACACAGACCCATTTTGTACACCCATTTTGTACACCTGTGTACATCTGTTTACAAAAAGCCATGGTTTGTGCCAAAAAGCCATGGCAGTCAAGCTGTCAGGCCCACATGGTTGCTAAGCAGCTGAAAGTATAGCTCTAACAAGAAATTTTTCTTAACTTCTAATTTATTCAGTTAAAGAGAAGAAAGATCGTGACTTCCAGGCAACACATTTAATATACCACCACTACATTCTGTTGAATAAATACTCCATTTTCAATTTACTATTCAGAATTTCTTCCACAGACAAACTACAGAGTATTTTGTACCATTTGATTTTTTCCTAGTGGATTCTTATAATCCTGTTAGAATGGGGCATGTGGGGCTAAATGGATTTTGAAGAAAGAGGGGAGAACTTAACGGAAATGTTAGTGTTCTCATGCTCAGTGCTTACGCATTTGATAGGTAAATCATTTAGTGAATTTTGTGGTTTCTTGAGGAACTACTTGCAGTGTAAAGAACACCTGTAGCCCTTACAGCTACTCCTGTGGGCTCCAACATCAAAGGGAAGACACATTCAGCCATGTAGCATCAAGCCATTAATGGGTTTTGCTAACTGTTGTTTGACTACATGTTTTACACATTGACTCTTCCCTCTTTGTCAGTTCCAGTAGAAAGGAGTGGTTTTTTTAAAAATTTAGGTTTTTGAGGTTTTTTTTAAATAAGTGCCCTAGTGGGGATCACCAGTCTGTGGGCTGACACCTCACTGATCTTGGGATATCTGGAAGGGATGTTTGGTTAGGATTTTTGTAGAAAACCATTAGAGGTGAGTCCCCATTTTTGAATCATGGCCTTACCTGTTTCAGAACATGAAAATAGCATATGCTTTTGGATGATTTTCTTTTTCTTTGCAGCTGGTGGGGAGGTAGAAAATGGGTTTGGTTTCCATCTGAGTTTTTCAGAGCTTAGATAATAGTAGGACTTTTTTTCTTTACCTTCCCTGGATTTTTTTGGTGTGTTTTTATTAATCAGTGAATGACATGAAGAATGCAGCTTCCTGTGCAGCAAGTTACCTTCTGTTTGACCAGCAAGATGAAGTAATGAAACAGAACATGGTCTATTATCAGTACCACAAAGACAAATGGGGACTTAAAGAAGAGGATTTTCAGCCCAGATCGGTAGGTGAATTACTGAAAATGCTTTCTAGACACATTCAGGTATTTCCCCAAAACTCAGTGGGTTAGAGGTTGGGAAAATGGGAGCAAGCTGTTGGTTCTGGTGTTAAACACATACTGTTTTATTAAAACCATATAGGAAGTTGTACAAGAGATGTACTGTGTAATGTAGACAGTGAATGTCACTATAGTTCTTCCCTTTGTATTGAAATACACTACAATAGGAGATAATACGGTATGTTGACAAATGAATTCATGCTGGTACTTGTCTGCCACTTAGGCATATTTATATCATATGCCTCAATAAATGAAGCAGCTGCTCCCTGAAATCTCCTGATGAAAAGATCACTTCAGTGACATTCGAGCTTTTGTCAGTTACTTATTATCTGCCAACATGTAGTTGCCCACCTGCTTGTTATTTCGGGCATTGGCATGTGCCCGAATATGATAACCCCAGCTAAACTCACTTTCCATGTACTGCATTTAGGACATAGGTGTGTGAATGAGGACAGAATAATGCTGAGGACCATATTGCATCTCAGTATCTCAGGTAGAACACTTGTTGCAAAGAACCCACTGTAAACATCAGTCCATCCAGCAATGATTGTGATCTGGCTTTGAAAAATTGCTCTAAAAAAAGGGTTTCCGTGCTGTTCTTACATGTCCATGTCCAAGGAAATTTTACATATAAAAGCATGTTTGCTGTGTTTCTGGACTCCTGCAGCCTGGACTCTGACACAATCAAGTTGGATTTCCTGTCATTTCTTGTTACCAGGATCTGTGTGATGCAACCAAATTAGCTGCTTTGTGACACCTGAGTGACTCTTTAGGCATCAGTGGTATGTGCTGTACAAGTAATCATTAGCAATACATGTTCCACAAAATAAATTCAGTGCCTTCCCTTTCTCTTAGGGCATGACTTCCTCATGGAAGAGTCACTGAAGTTAACCTACCTAAAGCAACAGGAGGTGCCCCGCAGGGTAACATTCCAGTGGCCCTTTCTATGTTGCTTCTTCAGACACCTCAGTCACCAACACCTATACTTGCCCAAAGCTCCTTGATTCTTCAGTCTGTGTTAAACTCATGACATCTGTGCAGTGCTTGGGTGACTGACTGTATCTGTAGCAGCACTGCAGAGCAGTTCACCTATGCACCTTATAGGTTGCCCTCATTTGATAATTAAACTTCCCTTCCTCTCAGACCAGCCAGCTCAAGTCAGAAGTACCACTCCATTTGAGTTAAGTGGGGGCTTTTGTGGAGAGCTGTTGAGTTACGTGCAACACACCTTATCCACAGACTGGAAACCCAGGCTGCCCTGCAGGGCCAGCTGAGACAGAAGACAGCAAAAATGCATTTGGTTCTTTCAGGCAGCAGCAGCAGAGAGTCTGAGCTCACAGGGGAAGGGGACCACTCCTTTGTCACTGCTTCTGGGAACAGAACTGTGCTTTATAGCCGGTTGGAGACAACGTTTCGACGGTGGTAGGAGTGAGGGGTAGTAACAGTATGAAACTGCAAACCGCAGATGGATTTGGCAGACGTGCAGAGAGGACAGAACAAGGGCCCTACACACTAACTCTGAATGTTTCATTGATAACTTCTCAGGAGCTGGGGGCTACAGATAATTTAATTTTAAAATATAAAATATTAAATGCACGCAGCTGTATTTTCTTGTACTTTAATCCAGTAGTTATGAACAGAAGTTGCCTGCTGTCCTTGCCATGAAAACTGTAGTGCCTCTGGTTTATTTTCACAAAGTGGTAACAGGGTGACAGCAGCATTTGTCTCTTGCACTAAGCTTTAGATGTTCTTGTGAAAGAGGAAGTCTCCTTTTTCCTTCCCAAAAGGAGTTAATCAGGATAATCAAAGCAGATTACTGTTGGGATTCACAAATATGAGAGTAGGTGACTGAGCTAAACTGTGCTGTCCAGACAAAGAGCCGGGGAAGTGAGGAGGGACAGGTGGGTGACCATGCAGAGTTTCCCTGGCCCAGGCTCAGGCTGGGGTGGTGAGTCACTATCGTACAAAATAGCTTCATGTCTCTTTTTTCCCAGAACTGCCTGCTGCCATGCGCCAGCACACGGGGAGACAGAGTCTTTCTCCTGTCCAGAGCCCGCTGGAATGCAGGCACAGGCTGCTGCTCAGCTCTGGCAGTCTCATTCCTTATTCTCAGACTCGCCAGTGCTTTGAAACGTGAGAAAGAGGAGAGTGCTTTGTTCTTCTCACACTGATGGAGCCTGTGCTTAGAAAGATCCACAGAAGACATTGGATACACTGTTTGCTGTTCTGCTCTTTCCTTTCTCAAACATTAGAACCTCCCCTGGGATCTGTCTTCTACTAAGTCTGGGTCTGACTTCACTGGAATGGTTTCAGGTGATGTGTGATGACACTCCCCTGTGTTGCTCCCTAAAGTAACCCAGAAATTTTGGTTTTTGATAGGAAGCAGTTCGATACCACAATATAACCACACTCCAGTTGGAAATGTATGAATTTGCAAAGGAACATCTGATGGATGATGATGAGGTGAGTCTTCTAGAAATGAAATTGTGGTCAAAAAAGTGAGTAATTGCATTAATATGAAGATGATACATAGATGGAATTCCAGGATTTAGCTAATATGGAAAAGTCTTCTTGTAACTGTGACCAACTTATCATAATTTTTTCTTTTGTAAATGGAATATAAGAAACAAACACAAAGAACATCATGTACCATTTAAAAAAATATGGATGTTATTAACACAAAGGTAAATATATTGCAGTGAGCCCACAAAAAAAGAAAATCCACTTTGCAAGCTATAACACCAGGGGGCAGAGAAGTAGTATATGTACTTAAACCCAACGTTTTTCTGTTTGTTTTGTTTTCTGAAATGTTATTTAAATTAGATTTAAAAATCATTATAATTTTGTCCAGAAGTAACCACCTAAATTGTAATTTTTGTCAAAAGGAAGTCTGTTATCCGTTCAGTTTTTCTGCACAGTAAAATTTTGGTCACCCAGTCTTGCTTCTTAAATGGTTGGAATTCATGGCCAAATGACATATAATGACTAATATTAGACTGGAAATATGTAAAGTGGATTTTTTGTGCAAGAAAATAGTTAAATTGTTGAAAGAACATTTCTTAGTCTCCCACAGCTGAAATTAAAGTATAAATCATGGAGGCTTTGGATTGCCTTTTGTTTTGCTTTGTTTTCAGAACCTTTCATTTAAAGGTTTAAAAAAATCTTCAAATGATGGAATAGCTTGTTGCTGGCATTGGCAAAGAGCTATGTTCAGTTATGGCACGGAGCAAGGTACTTATAATGAGCCCTGCAGAGGTCTTTTTTTAGTTAGCAAAGAGCAAGATGGTTTATGTTAAAAAATGAAATAACCTTTGCAATTTTTATGTTATCCAGCATATAGGGAGAGATAATATTTTATAATGGAGAAGTAATAACATGTCTGTGCTGCCTTCAGTATGTTAGTGACCTGAAAACAACTCTATACATAAAGTTCCATTGCAAGGTTACCAGACTTCAGGAAGACTTTCCATTGTGATAAAACTCTGTGAAAGACAGTTTCATAAGCTTGTTACAAGATTAAGCTTAGATGAGGACTAGTCTGCATGGATTTTCATCAGAGTGTGAAATACTTGAGCACTTTTTTATATTTCCTTGTTGGTTTGTGCTTTTCCCGTAATATTTTCTTGTGTTGGGCATACACTTGATTTGTAATTTTTTCTTTTCTTTCATAGCTGCTGCTTCAAAACACAGGGATGAGTAATTAAAGAAGGGAAGAAGCAGTCCGTTGTGAGGGCTTTCCCCATGTTATAAGAAGGGATTTTCCTTCTTTTCCTTCCTTTCCTTCTTGTTACAAGAAGGGATTCTAGAAACAATCTTCAGCCTCAAGCACTGTTGTGTAGAGTAGACAAGCGTTCGTTTGCTGGCATTCAATCCTGTAGCCCATTTCACCACTGCCATTATAAATGACCTTGTGGTCTGCAGGAGGGAAATACAGTGGAAATGTCAATTAAACTTTTGGGGAAGTGTCAAGGAAGTTGCATTACACTGGATTATATGTTTGGGTTAAACAACCAAAATTACTGGGCCTGGTTATGCCACAGATATCCCTACCCCACACTCGTGTTGTATTAGGAAAGTTACTCTTATCCTCTCCTGGGGAAGAGCTGAAGGGCTTCTGTGCCCTCCCTTACTGGGGCTGAAGAACCTGGGAGGGATGGAGACTGTCCATGCCTCTGGCTTGGCTCTGGCTTTTGGTAGTGAACTCATAAATCCCTGGCTACCAGAACTTGTCTTTGACTGCAGACAGAGCAGGAATAGTACAAAGGTAAAATCACTACCTTGCACTTTCTGCTATATGGGCAGGACCTGGTAGTATAAGTGGAATTTTTTTTTTTTAATATTTCTTCTGGCACAGACAGAAAAGTTTATTCCATAGGAATGCTGAAAACTGATGAAAAACCCAGATAAGGTGTTACAGTAAAAGCTTTATTAAAAATAGTTAAAGATGGAGACAGCCTCTCTTTTTATTGAGTGCACTCTGTTTATTTGAACCATGTGCTTCTTGGGCCATAGGCCATAATTATTGTGAGTTTCTGTGGTCCATGTTTGCTGTCTGTGAAGTTGCTTGTGGGCCAACAAGCCCATAAAATAATCTGCAGGAAAAAAGACATTCTCTTTCCTTGAGTGAAGCAAAAGGATCTTTTCCTATGTGAATATGTCATTATTCCTAAGTAGAGACTATCACTTAATTCAGACTTCCCAGTGCTCCTGTATCCCAGATCATCCATGTGTCTTTTTAAATCCCATTAACAAACCAAGTGAGAACATGTGGCTTCTTCCAATAATACACTGCAGTCGTTGCAGAGGCTGGAGCATGCAGTAATGATTTTTGCATATGTCACTACAAGAAATACTGTCCTGTTCGTGTTACTTTATTAATGTTTTTCCACAAGGAAATGAAAAACTCCAGTTCAAACATTTAGCACAGTAGAGGTGACAGAGAATATTAGCGCCAACTAACTACAAATTACTTTTTCTTAAAAGTAATTATTATTAAATATCCTTACAGTTTTCCATAGTGAAGTTAAAAGAACATTACACAGTGTTGTCATCGTAGTTGGCCACGGATAGTCAAGCTTTGTGATTTCTGTTCAGATATGTAATGCATAAAGGCTGTAATAGATACAACTCCTAGTATTGCACAGATTTAAGTAGTAAACTGAAATGCTGTTAAGAGCCAGATACTCAGCTAGTGTAGATATAACTTCAGCACTACACTAATTGTATGAGACATGTTTCTGGCTCATAAAATCAGTATTCTTGAGGAATATTTTTTTTTTTTTCATGGATAGCTACTTAACTGTTCTAAATTACATAAGAACCACAAGTATTTGGCTGGGATGATCTTACAATGCGATTTTTCTTTCAGTACTTCATCAGTAGGTGAAAAACCGTTGGCAGCTTTGACCCACTTTTTTGGCATCTTGTTCTTTTTATTTGTCTATAATGTGCATGTCCATTTGTATAGCAGCTCAAATTCAAATTTATTTCAAATTCAAATTAAGCTTTATTCCTAAATGTGATGCAAAGGAGAGTAAGTGTTGAACTAGTCTGACCAGTGGAAAGAGAACATATGGAATAGCATCAAAGCATGATGGCTCAGTGGACTACTGATCGCAAATAATAATCTCAATTCAGCCTATTTTTCTGTTCAGGAATTGCTAACAACGTACTTTCAGCTTTATTAGCGTACTTTTTTTGCATATGTTCAAATGATTTATACAAGTGTGCTCGTAACAGCCACTGTAACTGCAGACCTGTAAAGCTTGCCCTGCCTGTGCCCTCAGACCAACACGGCTACAACAGCACCGGGACACTGAGAAGAGCTGGCAGCAGCTGTTTCAGAGGGAGCTGGCAGCTAATTGGCATTGTTACAGTCCCTGTTCAACATACACTTCTTTAAAGAAAAAAAACAAAAGAGATTTTTTTTCATCATCATTTCCTAGTGCAGATGCTGAACATGTGGATGGCTCTCCAGAAGCTTCCTGCTTTCCCCTCTTGCTTCTTTACCGCAGGTTTAGATTAGATATTAGGAAGAAGTTCTTCACTGTGAGGGTGGTCAGACACTGGAACAGGTTGCCCCTGGAAGTGTTTAAGGCCAGGCTGGATGAGGCTTTGAGCAACCTGGTCTAGTGGAAGGTGTCCCTGCTGATGGCAGGTGGCTTGGAAGTGGATGATCTTTAAGGTCCCTTCCAACCCAAACCATTCTATGATCTATCTTGGTCAAAGGTGTTCCTCCTTCCATTTCAACCACCTGCCATGGGAAGCTGCAAGCATGGTTGGGCTTAAATGGCAGGATGTCCCCAAGTTGCAGGTACTGACATCAGGAGGAATTTTTTGCCTGCCCAGATTTCCTTCAGCTTCTGCGTGCAGCAGAAAGTAGGCAAGAGAGCATAAGCAGAGCTCAGAAACAAAGCCACGAGAAGGCTTCTGTTTTCAGTGCAATAGGAGCAATGTTGAAGTTGCTCTGAAGCTGGGTTGACTCAAGTTTTATAGGCATTATAAAAATGTTAAGAGGAAAGCACACTTACTGGATTACTGTAAAATACTATTGTAATAACTGCAGTGCACTGCCATCTCCTGTAGTATAGGGGAAGAGAACAGTTACATGTTCAAATGTATCATTAAAAATGAAATGGAAAAATGTTTGGGAAGGTTGTTAACATACATGTGAAAAACAACTAAGCTCTTTTAATATTGAAAAAAAAAAACCTGCTAAAAGCATGTGACAGTGGGTCACACTGTGGACTAAGTATCTGAAAAATAAACAAGTTAAGGGCCAAATAGTTTTTCTGCACAAAGAATTGAGGGATTTTTTTTTTTCCTCCCTGCTAGAATGTGAGGAATGTCCAGCCTGGGCTGTACTGCTCCTGGAGGATCTGGGAGGGCTTTGAGGTGGTTACAGGGAACTCGCGTTTTAACGGAAGGTTAGATCAAGGAACTTTTTCATGGTCAAAGGCTGAATAAACCTTTCAGGCTGAGCCACTCATTGACATGTGCCTTACTGTTAACCCAAAATAATGTGTGTGTCCCCCTGCAAGATACTGCTGGCCAGTGGGCTGTGTGGTATGCTTGCAGGCTCTGTCAGGCCCACTGAGCACATACCCTCCACAGTCAGCCACTTCAAACCTTTGTCTAAACTCTTGCAAAATGGCTGTTCATCCTTGAACAAAATCCACTGTTTTTCATAACCTAACTCTTCCTCACTACTGCCATTAGTTACTCAAGTTAGTTACCAGGGCAGTTCCAGGACAATTACTCCGTAGTTACAAGGTAGCCTTGTCCTCTGCTCACAGAGGTCACCCCTACAATCCTTCCCACTACCACAACCTTGCCACCTACACCCAATGTATAAGGGAATCAAATCTGTTACTCTCCCTGTTGAACAAGTTTCCCGTTATTAAGATCTTTGAACTTTAGCAAAATCTGATTTTTTTTTTTTGCTGTGAAAGACAGCTGGGGGA